TCATACAAATGATAATATTAATCATTGTTTATCAACTTTTATTATTCATAATAATCAATTGAAAAAAGAAAATAAATAGGTCCGTCCAATACAAAAAAAAAAAAAAAAATTTATATGACAGAATGTTTTCTGTCAGATAGATTTATCTATGAAGTCGAAAATAAGAAACTAACGCGTCTATTTATTTCTATAAATATGTAATCGTTTTCTTTTGTTTTTTTCTTCTCTAAATATCGTCTAACCGGTCGACACATCTTCTTTTTTTGTGTTACTTATCATTGTGTCTTTATTGCATATCAATCTTATTTTCAATTTTTTCTTCTTTTGTTTTAATAGACAAGAAATTTTTTTTTTTTTTTTTTTCACATATCGATATAAGATTTTGATAAGTATACTAAGAGAAACAAAACAATATAGCTTATCATAATAAATAAATCTGTTGGAGATATTTTCATTATCTAATTAAATAGCATATTTCAATAAACATTTACATTTAATTTAACAATAGAACATTAAGAACATATATGTTCGTTTTTACTTAATCGAAAGTAAACTGTCAATGAAATCGATTTAAATAATATATTAATCTTCATATTGACTAATATCATACAAATAGATTCTCTCAAAAGAATACTGTTTTTCTACTATTATAGACGAAAATCTAATCAAGGACGTTCAATGTATGTCAATTAACCTGGCTTGCCAACTCGCAAGGTCCCAAATTGGGTACACTTGAAGTATAATTTTTTTCTAGATGGGATACATCCATGGAGTACATAAGTTATTTTCAAAATTCAAGTCTGTACTTCAAGAGTAACTGCGGAGAAAAGCGTAACGTCTGCAAAAAGAGTTTATATTGAACTGTATTCCTGCGAGAAATAATAAAAAATGTCCATCCTTCAGAAAGAAAGTAAAGCAGTTTTCAGCATAAATCGACTTTGATGAACAAATCGAAATGCTGAATTAAAATAAACGCTAACTATTCAAATTAACTGGTATAGATCTTGTTACACGAGTGGTGACTCCAGATGGTTAAGATTGAGAGAGAGGATAAAATATTTTCACATTAGAGCTGGTGTCGTATTTTCTAGTTATATAAAAATTAATCGAACTGTTGTCATTTTCAATCATGTTTTATGCAAAAAGGCGGAATTTAGGAAAAGTTAATAAATTGTGCAAAGTTCAGTTCATTTCTCCTATAACGAGAGTTTTGTTTTGCAATCTCCTAGGAACTATGTACTTTCTTGCAACCTTCTAAGAAAAAGGCATTTATGCAAACGACTCAGAAGCTTTTCTTTATGATTTTGCCGTCGAAGATGGCTACACTTACGACACTCGTTCGAAAGCAAACGCCTTGAGGAAGAATAAAAAAACAAGTTTTGAATAAAAAGAAAATGGAGAGGCCTTTTTCACTGATTAAGTAGCTAATGCAGATGTTACTTTTTTCGCAAAGCGAAAGTTTTCACCTGCACTTCAAAAATTGTATTTGACTCTATAATCTTCTCGACAAGAAAAGTGGCTTTATATTTAATTCAGAAAGTTTGCTGTGTGTTTTTGCCACCGACGGTAACCACTTTAGTGGAAATTGTTCAAAATACAACTGTTTAGAAAGCGAAAAAGTCAAAAATTTTGAAGAAAAAGCAAAAATTTTCATATGTTTAGACGAATTGCGTCAGTGTGGTTGTTGACTCTTCGCAAAGCGAAAAATTTTCACATTCGTTTGCAATTTTCTCGTTAAAAGTCATCATTTGACTTCGGGTTTCGCCAAAAAAAGCAATAAGTATCTCAATTTTATCTGATATTTTTCTTCCGATGATGGCCGCCAAGCGGAAATCCTTGATTTTTGAGAAATGAATGAATCACTATCGCATCTGCTACGCTCAGCACCACTCTGGGTTATCTAGCTGCGTTTTAGCTGCTTTCATGTACATTTGATCACTTGCGGGCGAGCCGTTAGAGCAAAACCTTCACACTTCATCTGATTACTTCACCAAAAATTCAGTTTGACCTTTAGGGCGACATTAACAAGTCAATAGAAAGACAAATCCAAGTAGATGCAATCGTTACTGGCACTTACAAATCTCTATAGTCTGTTTTACGATTCGTATTTCGTATTTCTACAAATGGGTTTGGAATTCTGCGAGAAATTTTTCGAATTTTTACTCAAAGATGGTTCATAAGTAGTGCAATGGAAAAAGCTCAAATGGAGTACAAAAATGCGTACCCCATGGATACAGATTTCTGTGGGGTACAAAAGTTCAAGGATGGGTGTGGGTGTGAGGATGTGTGCGTGGGTATGTGGTGTCGGTGTGTGTGTGTGTCAAGAGTAGATACTCACAAGCACCCTTATGAAGCTATCTGAGAGTTCTTAGACTTGATCATTATTGAAATGAGCAGTAGTAAAAAAAAATTAAGCTATCATATCTATCTACTCTATAGGAAATATGAAATTGGCATTGAAATAAAAGAAGATTACACATAAATAATCATCACGATGAGATATATTTGCTTATTATAATTAATGCGCATAACATAAAAGTCATGAGTAACAGATACTATGATAATTTACAATTCAAATGATATATGAAGTGATTTAACTATAAATATGAAAAAAAACAATTATATTAATAATTTTTCCTAGAGGTAGAAATAGAGGACGAGATAGCTTCCAAAGTGTAAGGGTGTGGGTGAGAGTTCGGGATCTGAAGCTGAGTCTTCTCTTAATAGACACACTCACCTATTACAACATTTTGCACCTAAATTAAAAAAGTTGGTCCTCATATTTTAGGATTCAATGAAATTGATTCAGTTAAGAACTGAGAGTTTCGACTGAAGATTCTACCCAGACAGACAAAACTCACAAAAAAAGCGGTGAAATACGCGTAGAAATTTTAACGAAAAAAAAATCAGGAAAAGCGCACATTCCTACGATTTTATCTTCGTTAACTTCTCTACGGTAATCAACGCGTTTAAAACTAACGCGTATTTATCAATTAGATTTCTACGCATTTATACCACTTCCAAATCTACGCATATTTACTCTTTACAAATCAACGAGTTCTTGGCGCCTGAAAATGTGCGCTTTTCCCGATTTTTATCTACGTTAACTTTTCTACGCAAATTAACGCTTGCAAAACCTAACCGTTCTCATCCGTTCGAAAACTATATCTTTTTAGCATTGATGAATTCACGTGTTCTTAACGCCTGAAAATCTGCGCGTTTTCCGATCTTCATCTACGTAAACCTTTCTACGCCAAATAACATATTGGCATACGTTACCCATCTCAGTATCTGTATATACGTTACCCAGATGGGTAAAGCACTGAAAGATACCCAAATGGGTAGCATATAAACAGATACCCAAATGGGTAACATATAAACAGGTACCCAAACGGGTAGCGTATATACAGATACCCAAGCGGGTAACATATAAACAAATACCCAAATGGGTAACATATAAACAGAAACCCAAGCGGGTAAGGCACAGAAAGATACCCACATGGGTAACATATAAACAAATACGCAAACGGGTAGCGTATATACAGATACCCAGATGGGTAATATATAAACAGATACCCAAATGGGTAACATATAAACAAATACCCAAATGGGTAACATATAAACAGAAACCCAAGCGGGTAAGGCATAGAAAGATACCCAAACGGGTAACATATAAACAGGTACCCAGGTGGGTAGCGTATTAATAGATACCCAAATGGGTAACACACAGAAAGATACCCAATTGAGTATGACACGGACAAATACCCACAGTGGTGTTGTATAGTGATAGAGTGAGGAGATATGGGTATAGCCATTCACCGGATGATTATTTTTATGAGTGTTTACCCTATAGGGTAAACGGGTGATCGGTGAGAAACTCATATTAAAGGTGTAGCTACGTGTATAAAATGTGGCCAAATAATGGAAAATTAGGAAGGAGGATGTGATGAAAAGATAATAGTGTAACTGGAAACGACAAAATACATGTGAAAATCAAGCAAGTAGTACCTCTTTATAGAATACTCATTTAATAAAATAAAACTTTGCGTTAGATATATGGATGAGGACGCGGTAAAATTTTTTAAAAACACTTCATTATGGTGTTGTTAGAGTGCTTGAGGCTTTGTCAGATATTTTCTACAGATTGCTTCTGTCGAGGCAGTTGTATGGTGCGCATAAGATTTTTAACGATAATGATTGATGATAACTTAAAGCATTCTACCGATAGAGGTCATACATATACTAATAGTACAAGGTAGTTTTTATTTCACAGCATTTGGAAAAAATTTCCACTGATTTTCTACTTTTACTGAAATTTATTACTTTTGGTATATATAAAAAATAATGATATAGCATTACAATAGTGTTGAGATTTAATTCTAAAGAGTAGAAAATACGGATTATATCATGGGCGTGTGTATATGAGTACATAAGATAAAGCAAAGAAGAGAAAATAATGACTTATGGAATGAAATATTTTAGACGTAAATATAATGTATGAATTCATTTTATTTCATCAATATGCTTGGACATTGAGATTATCACAAACTTTTGTTATTATCTTTGCAAATATGAATGTGACTTAGCATAGACATGACTTTAAGTTTTAGGTAGCAAGACTAGTTTTTTTTTGTTATTATTTCAGTTACTTGTGATGAAAACCATGAAAATTTGTTACATTCACTTCTAGATAGGTGTTCGTTAATCTCCACTGTTGGATCTTTCAACATTCAATTATGGGAAAAAAGAACTATAACAAAAAAAATGTTTCCAAAAGTCAGTCAACGAGAAAAGTTGCAACTAATTTTGATGACAATGACAATAGCATGCCTAATCCAACCGTAAATGCTACAGATGAAAATGAAAAAGAATTCTTCGATAAGACGGATAAAGTTATGAAAAAACGAAAGGAACATTTACATGATTTTTATCGCAATGCAAAAAGAATAAAAGGTTATTTTCACAATTATTAAGAAACTATTAAATATTGATGGATAAATATGCTTAATGGAATTATTTTATTTCTAGTTGTTTCGAACATTGAAGATGATGATGAAGATAATACATTAGACGGATCAACAGAAAATCCAAATCATGAATTACCAAACAATGATTTATCAAACAATACAAAATCACGTGAAATCAATTATTCTGGTTCGAATGATTCGGCTGATTGTTCATCATCAAATGTTTCATTAACAACGTCTTCATATAGTCCACACGTCTCATCAACACCAAATAATACTGAAAAACGTCTTGAATTGAATAAGTCGATTTTATTGCCTAACAAAAATCAATCCGATCAATCTTTAACTAACAAAAGGTCTAGTGAAATGATTGGTGAGAATAATTGTGATCGTTTATCATCTTCTTCTAAACATATGGACCAAAATACACTTGCAGCATCACAGTAAGATATTTAAACTTCATTAATACAATTACTGAAATAATATTAATTAATTTACGGAATTTAGACAGATTCATAAAACACCTGTATCGACTAATAGAAGTTCAAAAAAAAATCTAGCATCAAATCAAAAGTGAGTTTGTTATTGTACTTGTGAATTCTATAATTCACAAATATTTCTTTTCAATTCTCAACATCTATTCTACATTTTCTTATTGAACTAATGCATAACATCGTTCAGAATATGCGCCGTATCGAGTATTACAGTTACATACACTTTTCCATTAGTTTATTTTTGAAACAAAACACTTATTTTGCTTGTGAAATCGAATATTGTTCGGTTTACTATGATTATATTAGGAGGAAGCTTTATAAATGAAAAATGACTTCTGTAGTTAAATAAACAGTTTGAATACACTAGAGAAACGAAAGTATGACAGTTCATATTTAATCTGACCTTAAAAAAAGTGTGTGAGAAAAGAAACTATGAAACTGAAAGAAAAAATCTATCACAGGAGCATAAGAAAACAGTTCTACTTATTAATCATATTAAAGCATTTACAATCTGTGAGTATTCTCTTCAATAGAAAAATTCATGAGAAATACTTAACCAAGTATTAAAATTTAATTATTTCTATTTTTAGCTCTAATATCTTGCCTCAAACAACGTCAAAGACAAAAGTGCCATATGTATCTCAAAGGTAGCATCCTGATAATATATTTCTATGCATATCTTACTTTAAATGCTTTAGTACAATTACATTTGAAACGTCGACAACAACGAATCAACACATGGATTATAACTCGAATCAGTGTAGCAACAAGTATGGATTTTTTTCTTAGTTCTTCTTACCGTTTTTGATTTTTTCATATTTCAGTGCTACTATCGATCGATCACTCATATGTACTTCTACTATAAATATTCCATCGACTATGAGTCGATCATCAACAAATAACAAATCTCAATGGAATCCGATAGATATAAAAAACACTATGGAATATCGAGATTTAGAAAAGAAAAACAAAGATTTGTCAAATAAAATTGAAAATTTGAAAGATGCTCTTTCAAAAGAACGGAAGGAGCGGAAAAAAATGAATCAAACACATATATGTAAGTTATATTCATATATGTCATAGATTAAATCGATCAGCATATCAGTCGTCATGTTTTTACACATAGATTTTGCTATAACGTTACTAATCGTAAGAATATTTTATAGAACAATACTGTATCGTAGACTCCTATATCCTTCTAGACTCATTATATTCAAAAGAAGATATATCATATGAATCAAAACCTGATATAGTTTTTAATGAGTATTATTGTATCATAGTCAGTGTTGTCAAATTTCATAGTCAGAAATCCGGAATTCCAATGTCAAAATCCGAAAAATTCCAGAATTTTTTCTTGTGAAATTCAGAAAGATTTTTAGCACTTGATTTCTATCCGCTAAAAAAATTTTCTCTAAATCTCGTTCTCAATTAAATCATTTATTAGTTCATAAAGCACGTGTTTCAATATAACAACAGAAAAACGACATCAAAATTCTAAATATAATAAACTAAATATATAGGAAATGATAAATTGTAAATTTCACTATTAATTAATACGTTGTTTTTTAAAAGATTATTTTTCACTAAGCTGAACAAGTTTTAATAGTTCTGGTTTTGACAAAAACTATTCATAAGCTTCTATAAAGTAAAAATACAGATTATTATCTCCTTAAAGATTGTTGAAAAAAACATATAATCAAAAAATCTATAGGTTAGAATTAATTAAATGCAATTAGTGTGTTAAGTATACCGACGAAATCGAGCAATTAGCAACTGAGCTGCTATCAAATAAAATTTTTTTTAAAATATTAACAAATAAATAATATGTAATTTAAAATAGTAATCTAAAATCCTAAAATCCAGAAAAAGTTGAAAAATCCGGAATTTTTCTGGAAAATCCAGAAGATCTGGCAACGCTGATGATAATCTACTCATTGAAATTTCGTTTTTGATCGTTTGTAACATCTTATCATAGAGCAGTGTTATTAGTCATTTTTATTATTGAAGATTTTTCAAATAATAATTCATTTCACTTTCGGTATTTTTAGTGAGACCTCGTGCATCATTTTGGAGCGAATTATCGATTTTTATGGAGTCTCATGGTGATTCATATCAAGGTGATGGTCGTACTATTCATCAAATAGGACGCGCACTTGGTTTAACTGACCATATGATTCAATATGTTCAACGTGATACCGACAAGCCCGACAAAGTTGCTATGAACATATGGAGAAAGTTATGCCCAACAATTGATGATAAAGTGTTTGTGCAATCGATAAAGAAAGTTCCAATATCTACACTTCATAATATATACGGTAAATTCTTTTTAGTTTCTTAACAAATAGAAAACTAAATATAGATATTACTTTCTTTTTAATACTATTGATTTATTCGAGAAAAAAATGATATTTTTAAAGTCGATAAAAACTACTGATTTAACTATGAAAAAGATTTCATTCTATTGCTTTTTCATTTCAGCATTTGCTCGTCTGTCTCACCCAAAAAGTAGTTTAGATTATAAAAAAATGCGAAGCGACATAGCTGCTAATATCAGACAAGGCAATTTATCTCATCGAGCACGTGGAGCTTTACTGATGGATCAAAATTATAATGGAGAAAATGATGAGAATGATAAAGAAAATAATTCTGATAATGACGATGACGATGAAGAAAATAAATCTGATAATGACGATGACGATGAAGAAAATGAATCTGATAATGATGATGACGATGAAGAAAATGAGTCGACTAATCATGTGAACGATGCCCAATCACGTATACGAACAAGCGAAGCAGTTAATGATTCAAGTAACAACGAAGAAGAATAATTCTCATGTCTTTGGTATTGACATATAAGTGCTTTATTTATTGATTTTCTTGAATGATGTTTTTTCAATCAATCACTTATACTTTATTCATATTTAGTTTTATTTAGGGGTGAGAAGTTTTTGTTATTCGATTGTTATTAACAACAATAACAAAAAAGTTGTAGTTATTAATAACAATAACAAAAAAGTTATTGTTACTTAATAACAAAAAATAACAGATAACTTTTTTTTCTGAAAAGTCTTAGTTTTGATTCGTAACTACATCGAAACATATCAGTTTTATTTGCTTATATAAGCACAGAAAACTGATATGTATCGATATAGTTACAAAGCTAAACTAAGACTTTTTCCGAAAAAAAAATTATCTGTTATTTTTTTGTTATTAAGTAACAATAACTTTTTTGTTATTGTTATTAATAACTACAACTTTTTTGTTATTGTTGTTAATAACTATAACCTTTTGGTTATTGTTATTTATAACAATAACGATAAATTCTCACCCCTAGTTTTATCTACATTACTTAATTCTCAGTGATATTTTAATGAAAAATCAAAGACACATTTTATGTTATTTTTCTTTTGCTTTTTATTTACAATAAAGTTCTTTTCTATGACTTACAATAACAAATGTCAGATTTATGTAATGATTAAAGTGTTATTATTATATATCTAAACATCAGAAATACAGAAAATGAGCCATTATTTGAGTTGCATATTTTTATAAAAAAAATAGATGAAATATTATGAAACAATCTAAAAGAAGGAATGGTTTTAGATGAGTGACGAAGATGATAATGAGATACAAATGATAGTGGATAAAAAATCTCGCTTTAGTCGTTATCGTACTCGAGTCCGAGAAAGAAAACAACTTGATATAATGGAAATGATGACAACTGATGATTTGAACGAAACTCCGTACGTTTACTCATGTTTTTTTTCTAATATTTATACCATAACAATTACTCTTAATAGAGAAGATGAAGCATACGTCTTTGATCAAGAGATGGTTATCGATGATGGCACAACATCAACATTAAAACATGATGAATATAATCCAGCATCAGATTCAGTTTTAAAGGAAGCAAATAAACAACATTCATCGGAAAGACATAGTGATAATGATAATAATTATGAAAATGAAGTTGACGATTTGTATCAATTCTATAATGATGGTAATAATATAGGAGATGGTGATGATGGAGATAAAGCTCATGATGATGAATATGATGATGATGAAGATGGAGATGAAGATGAAGGTGAAGATGAAGATGATGGCATTGAGGAAAGTCCGAATTTTCAAAACAACTTCTATGACAATGATTTCGAAAATGAAAGATTGCCTAACGCTACTGAATTGTCTGTAATGTTGTTTTTTACGTGGAAAAGACATAACATAAGTAAAGCTGCTGCAAATGACATATGTCGTATCATCAACATGTTCAATATTCCAAACATGCCCAAAGATTTTCGTGCAGTAATGATACATTTAAAAAGAAATAATCCAACATTACTCGGAGGAAATCAATTTTTTCTTTGTCCTTCATGTGGCAATAAATGCGTAAATGGTTCAAAATGTGATCTGACTAGATGTCAGCCATCGAATTCTTCTGTACGAACTCCAATATCAGTTGTCGTTTTTCCTTTAGCACCACAAATTTGTTCAATTCTTGAACGAGAAACTGTTATCATGCCAACTTATGAATTAAATCAATGTGACGATTTAGCAAACTCTCAACGTGCTCAGGAAATAGCAATTAAAGAAAAGCAAAATAATCGTGTAAGAAATAATGTAACTCTCACGTTGAACACTGACGGAGTCCTTCTCAAACGAATATCTCGATCGATATGGGTTACATGTGCTTGTATAAATGAGTTACCTCGAAAAAAACGTTACGATATTAACAATATGCTAATATGTTCTATATCTACTGGAGATGAAAAACCGAAGAAAGATGAATACTCAACAATATTACAAGATATTGTGAATGAGTTAAGATTTCTTGAACAAGTTGGTTTTGATGTTTTACTTCCATCAACTGTCAAAACTAATAATAGAACTTACACACATTTTCATGCTTTTACTATTGCAGCAGTGTGTGATAAACCCGCACAAGCAATCATGATGAATATTAAAGATCCTACAGGTTTCTTCAGCTGTGGTTGGTGCTGCATACCAGGTTAGCAGTGTAATCTTTTGATCAAGTTTACATTTTTGTTAACTGTCCTTTTTTGATGAAATATTCATTTCTCGATTTATTCATACTTGTATATATAGGTAAAACTAATTCGTCCAACTCACGATACTTTGTTAACGATAGTAGAACTCCTGCAATGCTTCGAAATAACATGACATATGATCATTTTATGAAGATTTTAAATATGGTGGAAAGCCTCATTTGACTTCTTATTTCTTACTCTTTTTATCTATGTTTCTCTTTTAGAATTATGTAGCAAAAGATCCATCAAAAGATAGAGCATGTGGGCATGCTGGTCCTTGTGCTTTACGTCAATTATCTTATTTTGAAATTGGCAGCAGTTTTTGTTTTGATTCTCTACATGGTTTATATGCTGGAGTATTCGTAAGAAAATGAAGAGCTTTGTAAACAAGAAGATGCTTTCTTATTCATCATTATAGAAAAAGTTAATGCATTTATGGTTGGATACAGTTAGAGTAGATTATTCAATTAAGAAACAATTTTCTCGCTTAGAGGAACTATTGAAATGTATCCGTTATCCAACTACCAATAGATTACCGCGCGCGTTAAAGTATTACACAACGTGGAAAGCTAATGAATATAGAATGACACTACTGTTCGGATATAAGTATGTATGACACATGTTCAAATATTCATTAAAAGAAAAAATTTCTATGTGATAGACCATTTGAACAAGTGATGAAAAAGAAATATTATGAGCACTTTCGATTATTAGCCTATGCAGCTATTTTCTCGGAAACAAGAATATTAACGACTACTCGTTTGGATCATATCAAGCATCTTTTAAATAAATTTCTTGTTGAGTTTCCTGTATTATACGGAGTTCGTATATTGATTATCATCCTCCTATAGTATTTGACTATTTCCTATAATATTTTTTAGGCGTCTAATTGTGTATCAATTGTACATTCGCTCTCACATATTCATCAATCCTTAGTCAAATTTGGTCCTATTCATAATTACAGCACTTTCAACTTTGAAAGTACAGTTGGTATGTGCAAGTTACCCGTTGCAATCTATGCATCATTTAAAACTCGTTTTAGTTATTTTTGAAAACATATATTGCTAAATGTTTTATAGCAATATTGATGATTTTACTGACCATTGCTCTTTTTTATTAGGATCATTTGTAAAATCTATACATGGACCATCTTTTATCTTAAAACAATTGATCAACAATTTCGAGCATCAATCTTATGCAACAACTATTTTAAAAAATCCTGCTTTCCATCCAAAAATTGCATTATTGATTCATCAAATATTTTCATCTAAGCGACGTGCTATACCGACATCTCTAATGTCACATAATGTGGTCTGTTTATCTCGTTCAACAGTCTCTGCATTTCCACATGTCACTGAATATCTTGAAAACATATACACAAAAGATCAATACACCCATCATTCAACATGCTTCTATCGAAATGTGGCTTTCACAGTTCACCATTCAAAACATACACAAGTGGATAATTCGGCTGTTATATACTTCGATCATTTCAATAATCTCCATATTGGAATAATTATGGGTATAATACAATTAAAAACAACCAAAGATATCATATTCATCATTGATCAAGCAGAAATCGTAGATTTTGATACCTTTTCTCTTGATCAAATTGAATATGTTAATGACTTTCTTGTTTATGCTAAACATTCAAATCCACCTACTATTGTTTCAATCGGCTACAAATCCATCAAAGAAAAAGTTGCTTACCGGAAAGATTCAAAAGTGAAAACATCTACTGAGTTTTATATATTTCCCAATTTAGTAGAGGACACGTGATTTTTTTAAAAAACATCTTTATATACTATTTCTAATAACAAAACGTTTGCATTCTCTACTTTTTTATCATTACCACACAATCATATATTTGTCAACAAACTTTATCTTTATCCTATAGAGCTTACCTTCTTTCCCAACATTATTAGAAACAAACCGGCCTACACTACTGTTCACCAACCTTTCACATAACCAAAATAATTTCTCATACTGCCAAAAAGATTAAACTTCCAGGCGAACAATAAATTTTCATTATCTCTTCAAAATAGAAAATATAATCAAACTTTCCTCACAACGAATAAACACGTTCATAATTCATCCGATTAATAAGAGCCGACTTTCTTTGAATCATATCAAAAAAAAAGAAATATTCTCTAACTCAAAAAAGAACATGATCATAATTGAACGGATTATATCGAGTAGAATTACTTCGAATTACATCGAAATACGAAATATTTTCTAACTCATAAAAACATGTTCATGATTGAACGGGTAAATACGAATTTAATTTCATTGAATCACATGAAAAAACGAAATATTTTCTAACTCATAAAAACGTGTTCATAATTGAACGGGTAATTACGAATTTAATTACATTGAATCATATGAAAAAATGAAATCTTTTCTAACTCAATAAAACGTGTTCATAATTGAACGGGTAATTACGAATTTAATTACATTGAATCATATGAAAAAATGAAATCTTTTCTAACTCAATAAAACGTATTCATAATTAAACGGATTATATCGAGTAGAATTACTTCGAATTACATCGAAAAACGAAATATTTTCTAACTCATAAAAACGTGTTCATAATTGAACGGGTAAATACGTATTTAATATTTTTGAATCACATGAAAAAACGAAATATTTTCTAACTCAAAAAAACATGTTCATAATTGAACCGGTTAATACGAGTAGAATTCCTTTGGTTTACGTCGAAAAACGAAATATTTTTTATCTCAATAAAATATGTTCATAATTGAACCCGTTTATCAACGTAAAAG